ATGCATATAATCTTGTATCTAGGCAACACAAAGTGGGCGAAGAAAAGTGCTTTGAATCTGCTGATATAGCAGAAAAAATGCAAATAACATCAAACACGCTTAAAGAGTAATTTTTCTCTTTTCATAAGACAGGTGGTAACTGTCAGGTTTAGGATTTATTTGTGTTGTTAACTAGCTGTATACTATTAAGGTCCCGGGGTTCAACCTGACAAGAACATCACTCACACACAGTCGTACATACAGTAACCAACTAGGTGAATAGTTTAACTAACAACAAAATAAATGAATTTAATTTTTGTGAAACTGATATATGTGTATGTACAATGAGGACGATAAAATAGACAATATATATATTGGATATATATATATATATATATATAATATGTATATATAAAGATATTATTCACTAATTAATTTAAGCACCTTTCTTTTGTCACCCTAGTTACATAGTCCACCAGACTCTGACCGACTGGCGTCACAAAACTGCCAACCTCGGTAATAGTAAAGTTAGACCTCAGATGATCGCCAATTTGACAATGACACTGAAAAAAACTGAGACGGCCAGCGATGCCCACAACTCCAACACTGGCACCCTATAAACGAAATAAACAATACTCTCAACTTCTACACTAAAAAATAGAAATAGTGACAACCTCATACAACATACAATAATAGATATCACAAACGAATAACTCACCCTAAACAGGGGTCCCAAAAATCCTACTGAATAATAAGTCCGAGAAACTAGTACAGACAAAGAACGTTGTACGGGCCAACACACCGTCCGTTTCAACCAAAGAGGGTGAACTGCCTCATGACAAAAGAATAACCAATAGATGTCACCGGACTTTGTGACGTAGCAAAACAATTCAAAACAAAAAAATAAAGACACTCTCGCCCCGTACAAGTACTACGACTAGAGGAAATAAAAAAAAAGAAAACAGAGTTAGGAGAAAGAAAAAAACACTTGTCTATACTACGCGACATATACCTACGTAAGATACTATTTCTAGCTATAACAGGGCTTACATCGTATGAGGAGGACGAGCATGTTGATGATATTTTGTACATTATATATATATATAGCCTACACTTAGGGCTCACACTCTCCCAAAGGTCCAGCGTAATGCTAAGGTAGTCTCTGAGTAACTCTTTAATTCTTTTAGTTTTGTGTTAAACCGAGTTATTTTTCTTTTCTGCTTTGAGCGTTTAACCGATACCAATCGCCTAATTTAGCCTGGCATATGGTATGAGGGCATCAATAGCTGGCTGCCACGGCATAGGTCTGACGGTACAGACCTATTTTAATGATTGGTCTCACTTAAACCACTTAACTACCTATTAAGGGAGTTTAACTTTGTGTTAGGAATCAAACTGACACTCCAAAGGTAACGCGGAAACTTTCTCCCAGATACAACATCTTTAAAATGTCCACACAATTAGATTGGAACCATTGCGAGCTGACACAAATCAACAAGAATACGAAGATGGCCACTTTAAATGCTCTAAATCAGTGATGCCCAAAATAACTCAATCTGCCGGCCATTTTAATATCCGTCACTAGCGTCGCGGGCCACATGATGGAAAAGATACACACACTTAATGAAATTGACCTGAAACTATTTTATTTCAAGCCCGAGGATCTAGTACTTACATTGAATTATTGGGATATTTGAAGTTTCTCTTTACACTTCATAAAAATGGCGTTAGTTCTGTTTCTATTTTGTTGTTTTTGATTTTTTTAAACAGCCAGAGACTTTCTTTATCAAAACAAACATGTTGGCTAGCCATGGTATCATGTTCTACACAAAAAGTAAAGATTCGTTCACTTTTTCTAGTAAATCTATAGTCCTATTTCATGAATGCACAAATGTTAAATGCTTTGGTAGTATAAACCATTCGAAATATGTGAGGGTTCTAACGTAGGTAAAGATACATTTTGAACATTTGTTGGGAAAGGTGTGTTTTCCTTATTTTGTGCCGACGTTTCAGCGGGCCGGATGGAAGCACGTCGCGGGCCGCATCTGGCTCGCGGGCCGTATTTTGGGCATCACTTCTCTAAATAGAACTTGGATATTTGTAAAAATATGTTTCTTAAATTAATCTGTATCGATAGCTTGATCCTGAAAAATATTTTTTAGCAGATTTTATAGGAAGGAGCCGCAATTAGTATTATGCAGTCTGTCTGTCATGTTAACAAAAGTGTTAGGTATTTATGTTTTGTGTTGCGCATTTTTGTTTTATGTTGTAGCCTACTGGTCTGATTTGGTCCTATTGTAAGACATGACTCACTATCAAAAATCATTCATCAAGTTACAGTGGAGGGAGCACGAAGTATAGGATCGTCCAAAGAAAAGCTGGCTGGACAATGTAAAAAAAAATGGACCGGCCTCTCTATTGATATCCTGCTAAAAGCAGCCGCTGATCGGGAAACGTGGTGGGATTTGGTTGCTCGAACTGTCACAGCACCTCTTACGAGTCAAGAGACAGATGAAAAATGAGGGATGTTGTTACGTCCGAATGTTAGTGTAAGTGTGAAATGGTGCGCATGTTAGTGTAAGTGTAAAATGGTGCGCATGTTAGTGTAAATGTGAAACGGTGCGCATGTTAGTGTAAATGTGAAATGGTGCGCATGTTAGTGTAAGTGTGAAATGCTGCGCATGTTAGTGTAAGTGTAAAATGGTGCGCATGTTAGTGTAAATGTAAAACGGTGCGCATGTTAGTGTAAATGTGAAATGTTGCGCATGTTAGTGTAAATGTGAAATGTTGCGCATGTTAGTGTAAATGTGAAATGTTGCGCATGTTAGTGTAAATGTGAAATGGTGCGCATGTTAGTGTAAATGTGAAAGGGTGCGCATGTTAGTGTAAATGTAAAACGGTGCGAAGGCGTGTTGAAAGGAGAAGAGAACAACACATGGAGAAATAGAAACGAGAGAGTGTTCGAGTGTTTGATGGACATTAAATGAGTTCTAAACGAGGACGTGGTTGTTTTAGTGTTAATGTACTGTTCAAAGAGTCTCATCTTAGAAATGAACGTAACAAATGTGTGGCTTAGTAACTAATCTACTAGGTTACCTATCAAGCGGGTTGGAGTTCGAGTCTCTACTCAATCTAAGTTTTGTTTGTCTAGCACTTAATTAAAGTCATTACTAAATTTTTTTCAGATACCCCCCTTAACTGTTACAGAAGTGAGATTGGGCCGTATCGCTCTTAAAATGGTATAAGCATGAAACTTGCGCTATGCTAAAGAATATCAGAAAGTTAGTACATTATAATTTTCTCATTGTATATAAAACGGCTTCTATTAATCTTAAATCGGAAATTGTTCGTTTTTAAAGTAAATATGCAAACATTCGCCCATACACCGTTTTTAAAACAATGATTGAACTTTGTTTTTCAGTTCTACTTTGTAGGAGAGGAGCAATCGCAAATCATGATCTACTGTCTTGAAGCTAAACCCAGACACTGATAATACTTTGTAGGAGAGGAACAACAGCAAATCTCGATCTACTGTCTTAAAGCTAAACCCAGACACTGATTATACGTTGTAGGAGAGGAACAACCGCAAATCTTGATCTACTGTCTTGAAGCTAAACCCAGAAACTGATAATACTTTGTAGGAGAGGAACAACAGCAAATCTTGATCTACTGTATTAAAGCTAAACCCAGACACTGATAATACTTTGTAGGAGAGGAACAACAGCAAATCTTGATCTACTGTCTTGAAGCTAAACCCAGACACTGATAATACTTTGTAGGAGAGGAACAACAGCAAATCTTGATCTACTGTCTTGAAGCTAAACCCAGACATTGATAATACTTTGTAGGAGAGGAACAACAGCAAATCTTGATCTACTGTCTTAAAGCTAAACCCAGACACTGATAATACTTTGTAGGAGAGGAACAACAGCAAATCTTGATCTACTGTCTTGAAGCTAAACCCAGACACTGATAATACTTTGTAGGAGATGAACAACAGCAAATCTTGATCTACTGTCTTAAAGCTAAACCCAGAAACTGATAATACTTTGTAGGAGAGGAACAACAGGAAATCTTCAGAAACTGATAATACTTTGTAGGAGAGGAACAACAGGAAATCTTGATCTTTTGTCTTGAAGCTAAACCCAGACACTGATAATACTTTGTAGGAGAGGAACAACAGCAAATCTTGATCTACTGTCTTGAAGCTAAACCCAGAAACTGATAATACTTTGTAGGAGAGGAACAACAGCAAATCTTGATCTTTTGTCTTGAAGCTAAACCCAGACACTGATAATACTTTGTAGGAGAGGAACAACAGCAAATCTTGATCTACTGTCTTGAAGCTAAACCCAGACACTGATAATACTTCGTGATTCAATGATAAGATTGTCTAAAAGAACTAACTCCATTGTAGTGTTTTAAAACATTTTAGAATCTACACCAGTGATACCCAAGTTTTTTCCTTAACGGAACACTTCGCACATTCTGAGTATTTAGCGGAACACTTTGCTTATTTCTAATTTTAAGAGAGAAAGTAGTGAATTTTTTAAATGTTCGACCCACGAGGAAGGTCAAATAGGTCAATTATTTATTGGTTCGTTAATTATATAGACATCTAGATGAACAAATAACAAATTTAGTGCAAGATGACCTTCACAAGATACGTTATTTGGGACATGATCCTAAGTATTCGAATCATTCTTATCTTTCACAAGATTTCTACTATTTCTGCCGTGTAACCGGTTATACTGGCATTTCGCTTGCCAGTAAGTGCTGAATCCCATTAATATCTATTAGGTTTGTTTGAAAGCCCGAGGTTCTCCTCACTGTATCGCATCAACCTTGTTCGTATCGGACCTCTGAAGGAGGTATGAATGCAGTGTAAGCTGAGAAGAAAAATTTGTTGGAGGAGTTTAAGTCGCGACCTGACAACTTCCCCCTCATTGGGGGGCGACCAGTAGTGGACTTTTCGTACCAAGGCTTGACGTCCACGAACCTGAGGCGCTTAGCCTGTTGGAGTCTGCTGTGCCCGCTTTTTTTCGTGTCTTTACTTGTCATAGATGTATGGTTAAGGCCGTTGGCGGCCTAAGTTACTGCTCTAATGTTTAGTAAATGTAATAAAAGAAGTGGACCTTGAGTGTACATGGTTGAGTGAACAGCGGTGTGTCAGGACTGTGTGTAAAAGGAAGTCAGTTTTAGAGAACAAGTGGCTGGAGTAAAGAACATAAACAGACACTAATAAAATCATTGTGTTTATTGACGCTCATGTTGTTTTGGTATTTGTCCGAGGGTTCCCCCTCCCCCTTTCTCTACTCACCTTGTATTATCTTAGAACTTGAATAGATTCTAGTTCTTCTTATTTGCATAGTTTTCTATTTTAAATGATGTACCATAGCTTGGGTAAATCTGCACCCGTCACCGAATTGCTTTGTATTTCTACCTCATGTGCCTCCCATCCTATATACAGCTGTTTACAATTAGTCGGTAGTCGCGATAAGTTGTGACATTGTTTGAAGAGTTAGTTCCTCCTCCTCCTCCCCCCTTCCTCCTCCTCCTCCCCCCCTCCTCCTCCTCCTCCTCTACTAGTAACGAAACTCCCCCTCCCTCCCCTCCCAATTTCCTCTCTAGAATTTTTTTTTTCTTTAGCGTTTTCGCACAAAGGTGCCAACATTTGGTAGATGAGACAGGGAAATATTAGTGCCGGACTTAAATAAGTGGAGGCCCCGAGCTGGAGTTTTGTGATGCTCCTCATCTTGTCAAGCTTGAATGTAAAGACACTTCATAATTTGCTGAGACTCTCTATAAACACTTATCTTATCTTATAAAATAAAATAAAGACGTTACTTTTAAACCAAGATGATTACGTCCTATGGGTCAAGCATCTAGTCATGCATGTTATCCAATGATTATTTTCTGCCGACCCAGATGTATCGATGGTCCAGGGTTCAAACCCTGCTCGCTCCCATCCCCCTGCGGCATGTCTGGACTAGGCAGTCAACTCTCTTCACCTCTGAAGGAACATCCGAAACATGTCAAACATTGACAACAAACATTGACAACAAACATTGACAACAAACATTGACAACAAACATTGACAACAAACATTGTGTCTGAGAATTGTATTCGATTTTTTTCCTTTATATTTGAAGATTATGTTTAATTGCTTCTTTACTATTAAGTCATCTGTCCTGAAGGCTTTCTAAACTTAGTGATCTACTAAAGGTGTTACTCTAGTCAAATGTGAATATTCGTTTGTTATGAATCTCAATGCTTTATTTTGTGTCTGTTCCGGTTTCTTAATATTTTCTTGAGTTGAGGAGTCTCAAATAGAGGATGCATATTTTATTTTTAGCCTAACTAATGTTAAATAACATTTTAATTGTATGTTCTAATTTGGAAAAAAGATGTGTCTGACTTTAGAACCAGTTAACTCGGGCTCCAAATAACGAGACATTTTATATAAATGAACAATACATAAAAAAATGAATCTGTACAGTTGGCAGTACGCTGTACCGAACCTGTACTGGAATATCTGTATTGTCATTAACTCTGCTGCCCATAACTGACCCGAACTGACTTGACCCTGACACAGTCTTTCTTTCCTTTCTATTTGGTTTACCAAGCCGCCTCCAACAGTAGGTCCACTTGAAGTCCACAGGCTTGTGTAACCTGTGTCACACATGGATAGCCCGACCCGCGTCACTAGCTCAGTTACAACAATGTTTTATAACAATTCAAAGCATGTCATAATTCTGAACAATAGGATCTCATGTCTCTTATTTTTCTTCTTATCTCTTCATAACTAATGTATGAGTATGTATCACATTTGTTTCAGCACCTAGCTTCAACTCTATGTTTACGTTTACAGCATTATTGCTGGTACCCACTGAAGCTTCTATATGTAATGTGTTTATGTTGTCCATTTGTTTTTGTGAGAGATATACAATTAGATAGAGCCATCGTTTGTCTAATACATGCCTAACGGCTGTCTGTGTCGGCTCTATCCAAGTTGTTAGTGAACGGATGCTGCGAGAGTGGGGGAGGGGCTAGCTGGGGCTTGTAACCTTTGACCACTGGGGTGGTAATTTGCATAAGGGCGAAATGACTCTGGATCAGAAGAATTTTTTTTTTTTTTGGACATTCCGATGGTCTAGAGGTTAGTTTCGCTTGGTGCGTTATCGCTAGGCGGTGGTGTCGGAACCAGATTCACAGGTTCGAGCCTCGGTCAGCGATTGCCCTTATCTTCGTTGCATTTTAATTCCCTACTTTCTCTCTTAAAAATTTGGTTCCTGGTGCTGTGATTCATTTCTGTTTAATATATGTATGTATCATTTGTTTCAGCACCTAGATTCAACTCTATGTTTACTTATAGATAGAATGTATAAAGCGTTTCGAAAAGGGGGGTGGGCGTTATGTGCTGACAAATTTTTCTTTTTTCCAGGTACGAGAAATCTGTTGTACTGCTATTTAAGTTACTAATTCATACATTTGTATTAATCAGGAATCTACAACGAAACATTTATCTATGGAAATGTAATATATACAGACATTTTGTTTAACAAAGGCGTAAACAACAAACATTCATTATACATCTATTTCTGATGGTATACTACACACTTTCATTTATGAAAGAAAAACTATGAAAAACTTGCTTTAAGAGTATACGGTGGTATAGGAGAAGCTTTTTTTTTATTAAATAATTTTATTACACTTTTTACAATTTTAAGAATGCAGAATCAAATATTGTAAGATATTCCGATTTCATTGTTGTAAAAGATGCAATGTAATTGGCATCAGTGAAACTCAATTTAGCGCCCGTGACAAAGTTTAGTTTATCTCCAGACTCCCAAATATTAGTTTCAAAAAAGAGATATAATAGAATTAACAAATTATTGTTTAATTTCTCTTATTGTAAACAAGAAGTGTTTAACCCGACTAGTGAACGGCTAGTAAAAAAAAATAATAATACAAAAAGTAAAGCGATCTATATAGCAGATGGTGTAAAGGTCAATTGTTTCTGTGGCTCATGGTTAACGAGGATGTCATGTAGCCAGCACACTTTTCAGACCTTGCGATCTATATAGCAGATGGTGTAAAGATCAATTGTTTCTGTGGCTCATGAGGATGTCATGCAGCCAGCACCTTTTTCAGACCTTGCGATCCATATAGCAGATGGTGTAAAGGTCAATTGTTTCTGTGGCTCATGGTTAACGAGGATGTCATGTAGCCAGCACACTTTTCAGACCTTGCGATCTATATAGCAGATGGTGTAAAGATCAATTGTTTCTGTGGCTCATGAGGATGTCATGCAGCCAGCACCTTTTTCAGACCTTGCGATCCATATAGCAGATGATGTAAAGGTCAATTGTTTCTGTGGCTCATGGTTAACGAGGATGTCATGCGGCCAGCACCCTTTTTAGACCTTGCGATCTATATAGCAGATGATTTAAAGATCTAGTGTTTCTGTTGCTCGTGATTAACGAGGGTGTCATGCGGCCAGCACAACGAACAACCGCCTTTCCCAAACTAATGCCAAGTGCACATTAGAGGTGGGTGGACTTACAGGCAAGCTTGAAGGAAAATGTCGTGACAGAGGTGCCTTTATTAAGCGCTACTAAGATTATGGGCATAGCGGAAAAATAGCTGGCAGAATATTACTTTACAAAAAAGACAGCTGGAGAGCTCTAATGAAGGCCGATGGATACACGTTTGATCCAATACAAAAGCCCTTCTAGACAACAGGTGCAGAAGACGTGTTGTTATTCTATTTCAAACGGGGTCGTCCTATTCGCTTCGCCTAGGATTCCTGTTGACCTAAGGCAGGCCCTGTTCAAACCCCACAGATTTTTTGTTTTTTGTTAATGGATTGAAACATAGACATTTTTATTATAACCTAAAAAGTCTTTTTTTTTTAATTGTGTAATAACAAATAAGGATTTGAGCGTAGGTTTGTAGAGAGGTTGATTGTATATTGTCTGCTCAAATCACTTTCACTAACCTATCCCTGTGTCTCTAGAAACGATGGGGTACCACACATGATCAGCAGACCGTCTTTCTCCATTCCTCTTAATTATTTTGCCTTGAAAATAACCTCTTTCAATGACAAGTCCATGTTTTATGTAGTCTTCCCATCTATTTCTCAATCTGTCTCTTTTTCTGTTTCCTGGGACTGTTCCCTGAAATAATGTTTTTGTGAGTCTCGAGGGTTTGTAATATGACCATAAAATTTTAGCTTGCATTTTTTAGAGTGGACAGCAAGAAATCGTAGAGCCCTATTGATATTGTGATCTTATTTTAAATCTCCTGTTTTTGATGCAGTCCTTACAAATGATGGCTAGAATCTTTCTATAGCGTCTCAATTCCATCTTTAGTATCATCCTCTCTAGTTTTACAGTCAGTGTCCAAGACTGACAAGCATATAAGAATGTGACCGTTACCAGGGAGCACATCCGTCTGATTTAAGTGACAAGGTCTATGTCTTTATCTTTCCCAATTTTTACAAAGCTTCTCTCAATTCACTCTATCTGATTTGTGTGTGGTAAAAGTGTGTACAAGTTATTTCTGCGGCACCCAGCTGAAATATTGCGCAACTACTTTTTTTTTACCAGACAGCACAAGGATCAATAAATAACAATCTACTAAACCAATTAGTTAATTAACTATTGGTAATAATTTATTTTGTTTGGTATCTCGACCTAGAGAAAGAAATTGTACTTGACTGAAGGGATAATAATCTTAATTAGTGCCCTTTAAAGGTCGTCTTTCTAAATTGTAATGAACAACATGCAATTTTCTCTTGTCAAAAGTACCCCACTAGCAGAGTGATTATCATGTCGACCCGAGGAGGCGAGAGCCAGGAGTTCGCATTCATGTCTCTCCCTCCCCCTTTTAAAAAAAAATGTCAATGCTTTTAAAAGCTAATAAGGTAAAACCAACCCAGACATCCCTTTCTTTCTTAATAACCTAATTAGCTAAAAACACGAACTTTCGCTAAACGAAAACAATTGGTAAATAAATATTTCTAATCACACAGATTTATTATTGTTAGTCTAGATATATTACAAATGTAATTACATGACTGATGCAAACTAATTAATACATTACACTTCATTTAAGTTTTGTGATTTAAGAAAAAAAAAAAATTTTAGGTTTTTCTCTTTTTGGTTACTTGTTCATCTTTATCCAATCATTTACAAGTTTGTTTGTTTTTACTTTTGATGATACAGAAGACGAAGCCCAGAGAACTGGTTCAAACGTATCTTTACAACTAAGCTAAAACTTTTTTAGTCCTATTGTAAACTAATCATTTTAATACATTTCTAATACATGTTTAACGTATTAAATTAATTTACTAGTTTTTATTCATAATTTCGAAATTGTGGTGGAGTGGTAAAGCTCTTGGCTTCCGAACAGGGGTCCCGGGTTCAAATCCTGAGGCAAAACTGTGATTTTTACTTTGTGGATCTTAAGGTGCCTCTGAGTCTACCGATCTCTAATGGGTTCCTAACATTAGCTGGCTATAAGTAAAGGTGGTTGGTTGTTGTGCTGGCCACATGACACCATTGTTAACGTGGGCCACAGAAAGAGATAACCTATATTTCATCTGCCCCGTAGATCACAAGGTCTAAACTTTACTTGTATTAATATTTTCAATATTATAGTCTGTTTTGTCATGTGGTATGCGCTCTAGACTGTCGTTCGATGGTCTTGATGGTCCTGGATTCAAAGGATGTCATTGGCGTAGCTAGGGTGGGTGGAGGGGGATCAACTTTAATAATCTCCTCAGGCCCTTACTTGAGGGAGGTCCCAAATGAGTGTCCGAAATTTGTTTTTACATTAACTATTACGCCATTTATCTCATTTTATGATGGTGAATGTCAAAATGCAGAGGCCTCTAAAGAGGTAAA